CCCATGATGCTCGCTTCACTGAGGAAGTCCCGCCTTTGCTTCTCTGTGTATCCGGCTTTGAGCGTCTTGATGGCCACACATATCTCCTTCTTAGACGGCAGCTTCAATCGGCCACTGCACACCTCTCCAAACTCCCCTGATGAGAGACGGTTATTTTAGAGAAAGTGAAGGCTAACATGAGAAGCACTGATTTCTGTTTTAATGAAACTGCATCCATGTTAATTACCTCTCCTCACTGGAGTTGTCAGCTTTAAGAATTACATCTAGCTTTGGCTGTCTAAGAAACACTACATAATCGTCTGTGAGAAGATTGGTTAAAGTGTCCAATAGGAATGAACTGGAGATTTCTGTGAATATTTTTGGTAAAATGTGCTCTGGGTACCTTTTTGTTACTGTATTTTAAGCTACCTAGCAACAACATTTTACTGTATTTTGGATAATTAATTTTGGACCTGCCTTTCAAGTATTTGGAATGAGTAAGATTTTTTTTTTTTTAGAAATTAATAATTTTGTTCACCAAATATGCATTAAATTGATTAAAAAAAAAATACAGTAAAGACATTATAATGTTAAAAAGGTCTACATTTAAATAAAACTTTCTATTGAACAAATAATTCTAAAGAAAAAAAAAGATTAGTCAACACAACTATTTTCAACATTGATAGTATTAAGAAATGTTTCTTGAGCAGCAAATCAGCAAATTAGTATGATTTCTGAAGGATTATGTGACACTGTAGACTGGAGTAATGATGCTGAAAATTCAGCTTTGCAACACAGGAATAAATTACATTTTAAAATATATTAAAATTAGCTATTTAATATTACCATAATATATGTTTTTTTAAAATGATGTTTTTTGATGATAATGATTGGCGAGCACGAGAGACATTTTTTAAAAAAACATTACAAAATCTTATTAACCAGAAACATTTGAACATTAGTGTACATTAGAAAAGAGCATCAGCGTGTCTGATAAAATGGTAAAAAAAAAATGGACCGGTAGGACGGGTCAGTAACATTTCAAGGCGGAGCTTAATGAAAGGTGAATCGCAGCATCATGGTGAATGGATCCCAGCCTTAAACTGATTTCTAGGGCATGCACTCAGGTGTAAGAGCACACTTCAAACAGCTCAGCAAGAGATCAGATCTCCACTATAGACGATGCTGACAGAGACTTGGATGGACATTTGGGTAAAGATGATGTCACCACCCAGACATCCAAGCCAGGGCCGTGTCCTGTTTGCGTAATTCAACGTGCAATTACTTTATTTCCCATGCAAGTTTAGAGAGATGGGAGAAATCCAAGCTTGCTGTCTGGAAAAAGTTAGCCGGAATAATTGCAAGCTGTCTAAACAGCCTCCATGCTGGACTTGGCCAGCGTTCAGATGATGTTGACCATCTTAAATATCAACCTGGCCTAATCCTCAGCAGTGATCGCTCCGATAAGCTATGCAGACAAATGAAGGTCTACCGAACCCACGCTAATAGATCATTTTCCAAGCTATATAAAAAACAACCCCCTTTTTGCACTTTTGCATCGCTTGCCAAAGTGTAAGAAAGCCGTAAAATGCAGATTTACAAAAGAAGTGACATCCGAAGCAGGGAATGTGCTTATTTGCAGTGCGTGAGCCCTGATGTTTGTTTGCCGACTTTACGGTGGTACATCGAAAGTGAACGGTTCCTTTATTTGCCGCATTTTCTACAGAGCCATGAATCACAAGGCATTATCTTGATATGTGCTTGGCTGTTTAAGACATCAGGGATGCGGGGAGAGAGAGAGAGCTGTGGGGGGTGAAATATAATATCCCAGCCGGAGGTGTGCTCTGCTTACCCATGCTCCTAGTTTTATTTTCATCTCTACCCTGTAATTCCTATGCACTATGTACTATCACTATCATGTATGTCTGCACTATGTCTGTACTTTCTTCTGCACTGCAAGCTCCTGTCGCAAAGACAAATTCCTTGTGTGTGTAAACATACTTGGCAATAAAGCCCTTTCTGATCTCTGATGTCTGATTTTGTCAGAAATGTATTAGATTCTTGGATGCTAATTGCTGCAATCTCATGTGAGGGACAGCTTGCTGAAAGGCAGGGATTAAATCATCTGAAAAATATGTTTTTCATTAAAGACATTAAAGTGACATGAATTGTAATAACATATTTATTTTTAGTTACATATTTATTATAATATTTATTATAAAAACACTGCAATGAAAAATAATGAATGTAAATTCAGATTTCATGGGGACTTTAAGAAATTCTCTATAACATTTGAAATGTGTTCATATGTTTATTGATTTAATTGCAGAAGTCTAACATTTTTGGGTTGGTAAGTTAGAAAAAACTCTAATTAGAATGTATGAGGACTATCAATACAGTGCTATCTTGCAAAAAAAAAAAAAAACATCTTGCACTGTACAAATACTGATGCTTGTGAGCAGCATTTGCTGTGCTTGGGAGGTCCAGTGGAAAAAAATACCATATTCCATCGCAGAGGTTGTTGATTTGAATCTTAACGATAAGAAGCTAAGGGTGTCAAGAAATGCAATTTGCTGGGTTTGAAGATGGATAGGTCTATTATGGATGACCTAATCAGTTAGCTAAGCTATAGTCCTACAGGGCACCTCATGCAGGTTAATCTAAGAGAAATTGTGTGGGCCTCCATTAAATTTCCTTCCTAATACCTCTGCCAGTGTGAAAAATGGCAGCATACGGACAATTGGCTTGCTGTAACTCGGGAGCAAAAGGGATATTATAAAAACCTCCACCGTTACTGGCTTCTTGTGGGCTGTCTGACATTTAAAAATAAATACTAGAGCAAAACTTTGTTTTGATTTGTACTATTTGTAAGGAATGGGTATTAAACACTTGGAAAGAACCTGAATATTTGCAAGACTGAAGAATTATTGAGGTATATATATATATATACTCACAGTGGCCGTTGCCAAAGGGCAGCCTCTTCTCATCTGGATGTTTGGACTTGCTATATCTACAAAACCTGTCAATTAAAGTGATGAAAAGCGTTAATTATTCTTAATGGCTTTAATTGGATCCTTTTTCTTCTCTAAACGATGTACAAAGCGACTAAAACCTGAACAGACCAAAGTCAGAGCCAGGAACAACTTGACTGTTTTGCTTTTCTATGAGGCATGACAGTGTTCTGGGGTCTTATAATAAGCCATAGATTCATGCACTCTTTCAATGGTGCCGTCTGCCAAAATCAGCCCCTCTGCATGACACGACACTCGACTCTCACGGTGCCCGTTACATTCGGCAGGAAAAATAACACGGCTTCTGCCAAGTGAATCGTCTACGACTATATATAGGCAGCAGACATGAAGGGGCACACATTTTCATACTTCATATCTGAAGGGTGGGAGATCAAGGGTCCTGGGGAGAGACTTGAGACAGCAAAGTGACAGCTTCAAGATGGGCACACTTAAACCTCTGTGTGACTGCACTTTGACTGACAGACAGACCTGCTAATCACAATGTAGAGCACTACAGTGAGGAGGATGATGGCCACGGCGGAGGAGACAGCGATCAGCACTACCTGACTGTTCTCACTGGAGATGGAAAAGGCTGCGGAGAGAGACAGAGAGAGAGAAAGAGAAATTTTAAATACACATTGGACAGATATGTAGCTGTTCAAGGTTAATTAACACAAATGTACTTTTTTTTTTTTAATAATGGCATTGAACTTAAACCCAACCTCAGTTCATAACTCAATACTTCACACATATTCAAATAGAAACATTAAAAGTCACTCGATATCGCCTTGTGAAAACGAAGTGTGCGTAATTGGACTGAATGTGCACTTGTAGTTTACAAATTGTAAAAGTGTATTTAAAATAAACGTGTTTGCAGATAATATCAAATGAATGAAATAAAAGGTCACTTAAGTGTACGTAAAGAGAGTACACCTTCATAAATGTTTCTTAACACACTTAAATACACTTTTGAACAGTGCACAGTAAACATATAAAATGATCAAAAAAGTTAATCAAAGTTGTCCTAAGACAAGAACGCATTTTGGTTTTAGGTTTTAGGACAACTTTGATGAAAGGTTTTGATTCACTTCAAATGTTGACTAGTGTAGTACACTTGTGATGTGTTAACTAACATACAAAAGCACATGTAAAGTGCTTATAACTTTAACTGTAGTGCATTATTTGATATTGCATTTAAAGTTAATCTATTTTAAATGTATTAAATTGCAACTTCATTAAATGTGTAATTATACATGTATTTTAATACATGACATGAAAGTTTCAACCGAAATTACAGTATGTATTTAGTTTAACTTGTCAGTACATTCAGCAGTACACTTTTACTATTTTTAAGACAACAGAAGTAATTATGATATTACATATAAAGACGTACAAAAAAGCACTCTAAAGTTCAGCTAATTTAGCATTTCACTGAAAGTGTATTTCTTTTCCTGAAGGTCCTTTTAGTCGTTTTATATTTCACCCACTAAAGGCCCGTTTCCACCGCAGGAACTTTCCCCAGGAACTAGGGACTTTGGGTCGGTACTCGGTGTGTTTCCACTGCATGTACCAGGATCTAAATAAAGTTCCGGGTAAAAATTTGCCCCTCAGAAAGTCCCTGCTCCCTGTAGTACTTTTTCAAAGGTCCGGAACTTTCAGGGCGGGACTTGGGCGCTGAGCATGCTGATTGGTTGAGTTCACACAGCATAGAGTCCGGATAGCTCAGTCGGTAGAGCATCAGACTTTTAATCTGAGGGTCCAGGGTTCATGTCCCTGTTCGGGCGAAGTGCCATCTATGGGGAAGTCGTGGCCTAATGGTTAGAGAGTCAGACTTGTAACCCAAAGGTTGTGGGTTCGAGTCTCGTACCGGCAAGGATTGTCGGTGGAGGGAGTGAATGTACAGCGCTCTCTCCCACCTTCGATACCACGACTGAGGTGCCCTTGAGCAAGGCACCAAACCCCCAACTGCTCCCCGGGTGCCGCAGCAAAAAAATGGCTGCCCTCTGCTCCGGGTGTCTGTTCACGGTGTGTGTGTTCACTGCTGTGTGTGTATACTTTGGATGGTACATCCAATATATACACTGATTCTGAGTATGGGTCACCATACTTGGCCACATGTCATGTCACATTGTATTTCAACCACCATTTATTTGCATTAAAAAAAAATTATACAGATGCAGATGTCTCTGTAGTGGTTAAACATAAGATATATTTGTCCCTTTTACAACCTAGACCTGGCATCTACCCCAGGTTCCCAAGTTCTCTCTTCGTGATGTGCTCGCAAGATACACACACAGGCAGGGACTTGATAGTATGGCGCAGTGGGTATTCTCATTCCCAAAGCGTTTCTCGACGCAGCTCGAGTTCCTGAAGGGGAACGTCCCTAGGTTACATATGTAACCATGGTCCCCCGAGGGAACGAGACGCTGCGTCTCTTTGCCATACTCCCTGCATCCCTCCAGGCGCTACTTCATCGGAGCTAACTTGCGCTCTGCCGGATGTGCTTTTATACTTCCCGGCGCTCACGTCACCCCGCTCGTGACGTCTCGCTGCTCCATTGGACTGATTTTACACATACTTCAGAACGAGGTCACGCAGGGGCGTTCCCAAAGCGATCTCGACGCAGCGTCTCGTTCCCTCGGGGAACCATGGTTACATACGTAACCTAGAGACGTTCCTGGGACAAATTGTTCAAGGTAATTTAGGTGGAAAAGTGGCTTAAGAGTTTGACAGGGTCACAAAGACTGATTTTTATGGTGAATTTAAAATTAAATTATAAATAATTGTACGCATATTTTCTGTCACAACAATATGTCAACTCAAAAACAGCATTTGTAATTTTTGGATAATTTCCCACATGATAAGTATTTCCCATTTGTAGTTAAAATGCCAGAAAAATATAATTGTTGCTTCTTTTGAATACACGTGTGATGTGAAAAGTTCATTTTGTTACTCCATCAACACCGTCTGTTTTTCTTCAGTAGATGGAGTTGACAGTAAATTTGAAACAATCTTGTATTCTCAATCCATTCTTAATCAAAGCTGGATGCTATATTTTAAATATTTATCATAAATATGTGACATGATGACAGCACAGGGTTTTTTTCTATCAGACGGTGTTGACACATATTGAGTGATGGCAAAGAAAAACTAATTTTGTGAGGAAATGGAAGCAGCAGGAGGCTGTGCGCCACTGTAAATTAATACCGCAGATTATACTGATGAGATTTTTTTTTTTCTTGGATCTGTAGCTTTTCATCCCAGTAGTGGGATGAAATAATCAAGCCATTAGATGAATTAATAAAAAATCAATGTTGAGAAATAAACCTTTAACAATCATTTAGATGACCATTATTTCCCACAGACGAATATTTTACACAATTTATACACTATCCTACATATATTCATAAAACATTTGCTTTCATTATGGAACATCTGGTGGCTGAGAAACATAATTTCATTTTCTGCATAAATTATGTGCCTTGGTCTACATTTCACACCAGCTATACATACAGAGGCGCCTATAGATCGCTGATCGTGCTCAGAAACCTGTGGAGAGCCGCTCACAGTATCTTTTCATTACATGAGTGTGCATTGATTTCCTATAAATGTTTCATTAGACAAAAAGGCCTTCAGCAATGCTGCGACACAATCTAGGGTTTACAAAATGCTCAGTCTAAGTGCTTAACAGTGCTGCAGACAACAGCTGCCAGCATGGGACAAAAGATGCAGCACGTATCATTTTAACCAAGTGGTTTATACTGTGTGAATGACTTGTATGACAGTGTATTGGATCAGAAAGCAAGGGAATTGCGAGCCTTTGTCTTTATTGTTCATTTGGGCTGCACAGCTGTGAATGGATTGAATCCGGTGTTGTGACTGCAAGGGAATGTGACTGTAAATGGAGAACAGAATGAAAGGAAGTTTCTAAATGCTTACAGTCTGGACTGGTCTCAAACTCAAACTTGCGACTGCTACCGCCGTATCCGGCCGCAGTGCGCGCTCTGATTTGTAGCAGGTAGTTTGTGTCGGGTTTTAGTCCGTTCAGTGTAACGTTTGTGCCCTTTGACCTCAGGATGGTGTAGCTGGTCTCTTGTTCCTGCTGTGGAATAGAAAGCAATAAGAGGAAAACAAGAGATATGTTAGTTTTAGCATAACATAAACATCTGAACATCTTTTGCCTCCAATATCAATGCCAGATAAATTAATCAGATTGACGGTGAGTCCAATACATCTTTTATGATTTTCTGGTTATTATGATGCAAGATTTCATAGAAATATAGAAGAACAAGGATATAAGAAGTCAACATGAAGAGCTTTGCACAACATATTTTAATTAATAATCTCAAGTACACTACTGTTCAAATGTTTTAATGTTTTTAAAATAAGTCTCACAGACACTGTATTTATTTGTTCAAAAATGCAGTAAAACAGTAATAGGGTGAAATATTTTACAACATAAAATATTTGAATATTTTCCTATTTTTATTCAAATATTTAATATTTAGTAATTTATTCCACATGATCCTTCAGAAATCATTCATATATGCTGGTTTGCTGCTCAAGAAACATTTCTTATTAGAATCAACATTGAAAATGGTTGAGCTGCTTATTATTTTTTGTGGAACTGCAATTTTTTTCAGGATTGTTTGATGAATGCAAATGTTAAGAGAACAGCACTGATTTGAAATATAATTATGTTTTGACATTACACATGTCTGTATCACCTTTGATCAATTTAAATGATTTCTTTCTGAATACAAGTATTAAACTATTAAAACTGACCACAAACTTTTGAATGCTAGTGCATTTCTGAGCAGAACAGGATATTCAACAAGAAAACGTGCCAAAAATGTGGGAACATTCCTCCCTGCTCCAGCAGATGCATGTTTACCACCTACATAGAAAACATCTTCCCGGGACTGTTACTAATATGGACTGAATTGCCTTAAAGGGACTTCAGTGCAACCTAAAGAGGATCTTAAAATCTTAAAGAGGAATAGTGAGCATTTGAAATAAATCATATCTCATTAGAGACGCACAGAGACATCCGTCTGTCTGACATGTGACCGTTGGAGCGGACAGGAGAGGGACGTCCCACCGGACGTGAAAATGCATGCTCATCAGGCTGCTTGGGACAGTGCCAGCTCATCTTAATATACTGCCACCTTCTCTTCACATTTTTATGGCTTTCCTAAAGATTTCTGTGGTACGTTGATCCTCTCTACAAGCGAAAAAACCTAACTGATTTATGGGGCGTCTTTGCTTTCAAACCATTGTTTCCAGATGTTTCTCTGACTGGAAAAAGGCAAGAGTGGAATGAAAGAGAGAGCGGAGGTTTCTGCTGTTTATTGTAGGAGTCCAGAAACGGGGGAAAACATCCCACAAACAGAGGGATCACTCATTTGCCAGCATTATCCAGCACATTCATCCATGTAACTTATCAGTCTTCGGCCATGGCTAGTGTTATGGCAAACCTTCAAAAGTTGATTTGCATTTTGCTCCATCGTTGACCTCTAAGAATAGCTCACTTGTCCACACTGTAGATATTGAATTTCCCCACAATGAAGTAATTAATGGCAAATGAGATTTGAGAGCATCCATGTTTACCACCTACATAGAAAACATCTTCCCGGGACTGTTACTAATATGGACTGAATTGCCTTAAAGGGACTTCAGTGCAACCTAAAGAGGATCTTAAAATCTTAAAGAGGAATAGTGAGCATTTGAAATAAATCATATCTCATTAGAGACGCACAGAGACATCCGTCTGTCTGACATGTGACCGTTGGAGCGGACAGGAGAGGGACGTCCCACCGGACGTGAAAATGCATGCTCATCAGGCTGCTTGGGACAGTGCCAGCTCATCTTAATATACTGCCACCTTCTCTTCACATTTTTATGGCTTTCCTAAAGATTTCTGTGGTACGTTGATCCTCTCTACAAGCGAAAAAACCTAACTGATTTATGGGGCGTCTTTGCTTTCAAACCATTGTTTCCAGATGTTTCTCTGACTGGAAAAAGGCAAGAGTGGAATGAAAGAGAGAGCGGAGGTTTCTGCTGTTTATTGTAGGAGTCCAGAAACGGGGGAAAACATCCCACAAACAGAGGGATCACTCATTTGCCAGCATTATCCAGCACATTCATCCATGTAACTTATCAGTCTTCGGCCATGGCTAGTGTTATGGCAAACCTTCAAAAGTTGATTTGCATTTTGCTCCATCATTGACCTCTAAGAATAACTCACTTGTCCACACTGTAGATATTGAATTTCCTCACAATGAAGTAATTAATGGCAAATGAGATTTGAGAGCATCTTTTCGAGGGTCGGCAAACACGTAACAGATTAGAGCTCTATTGGGTTTCATGTCTAGACTACACATGCTAATAGGATTTTTGATGCGCGCTGGTATGGACCATAATTGTCAGACGCCACTAGATGAGAGAGGCAGTGTACAGTTACATACGCTGGATTTCTTTGAATGGCCTTTGCTTATCCACTAATCAGAAACAAATAAAACGGCAATGTTAGCTCAGCCACATTTAGAACAATGCTGCACTGATGCGACTGCAAGTACACAAGCGACAAGGCTTTCAAAATGCTAAAACAGTGGTTTTGTTTTTTGGATTTCCAGAAAAAGCTTAAAAAATAGCCACACAGAACTCTGTAAAAACAGATTAAACTTCAAAAGTTAAAAGTTTGGAAATAAATGTATAATACCAATTAAATAAAACTTTTACTCAACAAGGAGACATTAAATTGAAGAAAATCTGTCAGTAAAGTATTTTACATTATTATAAAAGATTTCTATTTAAAATAAATACTGTTCTTTGGGACTTTCTATTCATTACAGAATGTATTACGGTTTTCACAAAAATAATAAACAGCACAACTATGACAACTTAGAATTTTTTTTTCTTCACAAAACCAGCATATTAGAATGATTTTTGTGACACTGAAGACTGGAGTAATGAAGCTGAAATTCAGCTTTGCCATCATTTGAAAATGCACTAAAATATTATTTTACAACAGCTACTTGAAATTGTAGTAATATTTTACAATATTTCAGTTTTTACTGTATTTTTGATCAAATGAATGCAGCCTTAGTGAGCATAAGAGATTTCCTTAAAAAATGTTTTAAAAATATTTTAAAAATCCCAAACTTTAGAAATGTAGTGTATATGTTCTGTGTGTTTCTTGTTTAAAGAAACTGTGATTAATGTTAGAATGTTGGTATATTAGGAATTATAGAATTCTAATTAGGTAATATAGAAAAAAATGTAATAAACATACAATATAGAATTTATATAGAGAATTTTTACAAAGCAATAACTACGATACATAGTGAAGTTTTTTTTAACAGTAGACCAAATCAGTTGGAAGTTTAACCAAATGTTGAATATATGACCTCACATGGATATAACATTTGCTAAATCCTGTGGAAAATGTGGAATATACAAGCAAAAAATAAAAGCAACAAACATGCACATGCAATATGCGTCTTTACTGCTTAAATACACATTTCACCACATAAGTAATAATATTTGACATTGACCAGACTTATACAATCAAAACCAGACCACTGGTTTAGACTGAACATGTTACTTACAGCATTCAGAATAAATGAAAAGCCATGTTTTATCAGCATTGCATGGTTTTTATTCACATCTCCTTTCACAAAGAGCCAGTACGTGCAGCGATGACGGCAAAACATGGCTTTCTGTTAGGTCATAGATGGTCTTTTGGGCCTTACTTCTGTTAAGCTTTGGAAGTTTTGTAAAAATGTCCAGGCTGTATTACAGAAACAATCAACTCTGAATCTGATCTATATAGTAACCAAGGCCATTTCATTGAGTAAATGGAACTTTAAAAAAAAATCTTAAGTCAAGAATTAAGATCGAAAGTTTCTGTAATACAGCCCTAGAAGCTTAAATTGGAAGCAATATTTTGGTGTTTCGGCTCCTCTCACAGCACTTTTCAAATGAAAAACTAATCCAAAACAGCTTTTTCCGGGGTGCCCAAAGAGCCTGTATCTTGGGTCACCAGCGAACATCTGTTTGTAAAAAGTGATTTCATCTGTAGATCTGTATATCTAGCAGTTGTATAAATGCGGTAGGACGTCGACTGACAAAACCCATCATGGAAAGAAACAAACACATGACTCCAGTGGAAACCTAGTGACTAATGCAAACATACTTACAGCATTCAGAATAAATGAAAAGCCATGTTTTATCAGCATTGCATGGTTTTTATTCACATCTCCTTTCACAAAGAGCCAGTACGTGCAGCGATGACGGCAAAACATGGCTTTCTGTTAGGTCATAGATGGTCTTTTGGGCCTTACTTCTGTTAAGCTTTGGAAGTTTTGTAAAAATGTCCAGGCTGTATTACAGAAACAATCAACTCTGAATCTGATCTATAAAGTAACCAAGGCCATTTCATTGAGTAAATGGAACTTTAAAAAAAAATCTTAAGTCAAGAATTAAGATCGAAAGTTTCTGTAATACAGCCCTAGAAGCTTAAATTGGAAGCAATATTTTGGTGTTTCGGCTCCTCTCACAGCACTTTTCAAATGAAAAACTAATCCAAAACAGCTTTTTCCGGGGTGCCCAAAGAGCCTGTATCTTGGGTCACCAGCGAACATCTGTTTGTAAAAAGTGATTTCATCTGTAGATCTGTATATCTAGCAGTTGTATAAATGCGGTAGGACGTCGACTGACAAAACCCATCATGGAAAGAAACGAACACATGACTCCAGTGGAAACCTAGTGACTAATGCAAACATCACATTTGATCTGGATCCGACGACAATCATTTCTACCCCTTTCTCGAACGCAGCACAGAAACCATTTCAAACCTCCAGACTTTGAATGCAAAGCCACAAATGGAGCGCATCAGGTTTTATGGTTTGAGGAGGCCTCGAATATATAAATTCGCTCTGCCACGGAAGACGAAACCAATACCTCGCGTCGTATTGTATGCGTCTCTGTTTGAGTCATAAATCTTTTCACAGGTTGTCACTGTTCACTGCTCACGACATCATGTGATCAGCTGGAAATCATAAACAGGTGTGTCGAAATTTTCGCTGCAAACACTATATCCTTACCATATGTCCTAGGTCTGCATCAGCCACCTCCCAGCTCCGGGGTTTGACAAGGCATGCAATTGTTACGTTTCGACAAGTGCGCTATTGGTGGAATTTAATATGCTTGTCATGTTCTACTTTGACAGTCTAAATATTGCAATCTGGGCTCTCCGCTGAAGAAGAAATTCTGTAAATGGCTTTTCCAAAGCATTCTTTCCAACCAAGTTGCAGGAGAAATAAACAATCTCCAATACGCTCCGAGATCAATACGATAAACGGACAAAATCATCACAAATGTGTACCGTTTTCAGAACATTAATAAGCTCTATCCGTCAATTTTAGAGTGTTGCCAAAAAGACGAGCGCGGTCGGGATGCTGTAACGTCAGGGAAACATGAACCAGAGCGCTCAAGTATTTAGAGATGCTTGAATTGTAAGGCCCTTTCCTCTTTCGTAGCATTGTTAATTTGATATATACACACAAAGAGCAGAGCATTCCCCCCTGGCGTATAATCAAAAAGAGATTTACTTTAAGTGAAGCAACATGGATCTCTTGGACCTCCGGATTGGATGACGCTTTCTCACAGGAGCCGCATCACTCGGGTTACTGAGCATCTCGATGCCTTTTTGGGAATCCATTAAGTGCAGTTTGTTTGATTTTGCGCTATACAACATTATGCAGTGTAAATATCATGGTGTTTTTGAACTCGGCCTGTTGATGCCATATTTTCTTTGAAAAGTCACTTTGCGGATCTGGCTCGCTTTTATGAGGTTTATATGTTCAAGTCTGCGGCCTGTGTGTCAGTGAATCCGGTAAGAATATTTGGGGCCCCCTTTCCTTCTCAGTGTGTGTGTGTCTTGTGAGGGTGAAGGTGGCTTGTTATCCTCTGCCAACCTAGATCAAGGGGCACCGAGAGTCTTACCGAGGGTGTCCTTGGCTTTTCCACATGGCAGCACCGCTTGTGTAGGATTTGGGCAACTCCAGCTATGCCTGATGAAGCAGTGCCTCACAAGGTTGTGTAATTAACAGGAATCAATGGAGAGACGGACTAGATTTCATTGTGAACGGGGAACACTGTGCCACCCAGGGTCAAATGAGACATGGAGGATTTCAGGAGCCCCCGAGTGTACCTGTGCCAGACGGTGAAAATAGCCCGCGATGAGCTGCCTTTTGCTTGCAAATAAGGGGATTAAGGTCAAGCGAAAGCATTTCCACTGGCGGAGATTTAGGCCTCACTGATCTCACAGAAAGACGCATCACAAAGGTCCTCTGTAGGAAGCGCAGGGTCCAACGAATCTCTTTTTTCGCCAGCAGATGGAAAAGCGATATCAGCATATTTGGACTGAATGTAAATGTTGAACGCATTCTGAGTGTAACTCGGCTCAAGAGAGTTGAGCCGCTATCCTCAAAAGGTCAACTCATAAAGTTTGCCCGTTCAAGAACAATTAAAATGAAACATTTAGGCTTAACTTTTTACAGTGATTCTATGGTTATAGAATATGGTTCTATAGAGCTTATTAGCTCATTCTGCAGAAGCTTAGGTTGTATAACGGCTGTTTTTGTGTTCAGTGCTAATCTTCATATGGTAAATATGAGGCACAATCAACTGGTGGTATTGAACCATGTTTGGAAATAAATCTGTTAACTTCAAGAGCAATGTCAAAGTTATTTAACAGATAATACTTACTGCAAGATAACTCATTACAGCTGGATGATATTTAAATATTCATAATATAGTACCGTTTAAAAGTTTGTGGTCAGTAAGATTTTTTAAAATACTTTTATTCAGTAAGGATGCATGAAATTGATCAAAAGTGACACTAAAGACTTTTACATTGTTACAAAAAAGTCTTTCTTCTGAACGTTCTATTTACCAAATAAAATAAACCTAAAAAAGATAATAGTTTCTACAAAAAAAAAAAGTTTTTTAACATTATTGATGATAAGACATCAGCATATTAGATAATTATACATTTTCTGAAGGATCATGTGACACTGAAGACTGGAGTAATGATGCTGAAAATTCAGCTTTGCATCACAGGAATACATTACATTTTAAAATATATTAAAATAGAAAACAGATAACTTTACAACTTTAAATTGTAATAATATTGCAGTATAATACTATTTTTACTGTGTTTTTTGACCAAATATCTATCTATCTATCTATCTATCTATCTGTATCACTCAGCCCTAGTATTTGGAGAGTGAAAAGTACAGGATAAAATAAGCTGCTGCTAAAACATTGGCATGAGCTTTCAATTTTGAACTTAAGACCGTTTTGTCATGATGAAGATGAACCATGTCTCGGAGACAACCGAATCCTGTCTACAATTTCAATATGCGCGTCTCTGTGTGGTCATACAGTCAAGCCATTTACCCACTAAAGCTACGGAATGTTTTTGCTGCGGGAAGAATTCTGGACGGTTGCCACTGGAGACTGTTCTAGGGCTTTCTTTCACACCCTCAGATCCCCTGCCAGTTCGGGAGAGGAGACTCCCACAATGTCAGGGCCCAGTTAAGTTCCAAACCCAGAGTCATGCTTGCTTCAGAGCGAGGGAGACATTACCCACTTCACCTAGAGCAGAATACATCACAGGATCTGACAGCATGAAAGAGCCCTCTGAAAACTGACCCTAAAAGAGCAACGCCGATGTGGCATAACAATACTGACCCTCAATCAAGACCCGATTCCTATACGGCTCATTAATCATACGGCATCTGTAGGAAAGCAGCCAAGGGGCCGACCGGACTGGGTTGTGACTGGAGAGGAGAGATTGTGAGGGTTTTTTTAGATGGGCGAGCATGGGATTGTAGCCCACAAGCTTTAATGGGCAGGTGGTGTTTAGATCAGTGCCTCCAGTGTTACAAGACCAAAGCAGAGATCATCTGGCACTTTCACAGATTGTTAAGAAGGCTTAAAATGAACTGACCTGGTCAGTGAGTACTAAGCAATGTTTCCTCTAAACTGCCTGTGCACTGCCTACACAGACAGACAGAAATCTGTGCAGAAGGCAGATTCAGAAATGATAGAGAGCTCTCTAAACAAAACTAGATGATTAGACACAATATTGAAACCAAAGTCCATCTGCATGTCCATTGATTCTGAATATGGAACTGGATCTATCAGAAATCGTGTGCATTCCATGATCTCAATAAAAGTTCTACATATATTATAATGTAGTTCAATTTGTCTGTTGTCTAAACAATCAAGTTTGAGGACTGCACTATTCAAGTACACAGTAAAACAAAACAAAACAAAAAAATCTAGGGAGTGAATAAACATTACTGGTTTACGTTTTACAAGAAAATACTGTTTCAGCTTTTATACTTCAAATTGTTTTATGTTTAATTCAATCTGTCACTTGCTATTTCTTTGTAATTGTGAAAGTTAATAGGAAATTCTGAGCAAAAATTGTTACTGCACCATTTTTTTCCCAGCATAATGTACTGACATTTATTTTTTATTTTATTTTATTTTATTTTATTTTATTTTATTTATTTATAGTTGGAAAAAAATATCTACTTGGCTACACTGACTGTTTGGTTGGGGAAAGGCAATTTAAAATCTGCCACTTATATATCAGAGCCGTAACTACCATAGACAATGAGGGGGAAAAGTCCCCCTCCCCCAATAATTAGAAATGGTCACTCTATAATAATCTGAGATGGCCTATCAAATCAAAGTGGGTGCTTTACTGTTTACAGAACCAGAGCACGAATTTCAGCACGAATCATCAATTTAATGTTGTAAGAGAGCGAGGTAAGATGGAAGTTGCAAATCATTTAATATTAGTCAACTGTTTTACGATAGAAATGTTAAATGAATGACAGCTATCTAGTGATGCAAACTACTCGACTTTTTTGCTCAAATATGGCTATAGAGAGAAAGACAGAGAGGGAGAGAGGGAGAGAGAGATTAAAGTTGTATGTGTGAATTAAGTTACCTGAGTCTGTGCGTCTCTCTCTACAAACAATGAAGCTGTGACTTTTACATCAAAATCAACGATTTTACCCCATCGTTGCTGAGAAATGTAGAGTAGCGATTCAGGATTCAGTATTCAGTATTGCTATTAAAAGGCGTTGACAACAATTTTGTGTGTGAATGTTTCTGTGCGCAATCTCCGATCTCTGTGCGTCAATGAAAGCAGCGCATTATATAGAATGGTGATTAAATTGACTTGGAATCAAACGTTTTTAATGCACACCTGCATTTGTTTTAAATGCACACCTGCTTTAAAAATACAGGTGTGCATTTTTTTTTAATAGTTAAAACAAAAATGGGCACAGTGAACACTGGGGTGATTCTGTTCAGGTGGCTGAAGGGTCTGTCCAACAGAAATAGGTTTTGCTCAATGAAAGCAAAAATTAAGGGAACATTGGTACCAGGTTTAAAATTTCATTTCAGGCAAACATCTCTCAGCAGAGCAGACAGAATCTATTTCACCTCCAACAGTCAAATTAAGCCACATCGACTAATGACTTGAAATGCTCCCAGGTATATAGATGTGCACTCTGGACCAAGATTCCTAATGATGCGAAATAAAAGGACAAAGTGATGACTTCAAATGAAAATGTTAATGCAGTGAATGCCCACAGCAAATTAAAATTAAACTGCCCCCACCTTCTCATAATATTTGACCTCGTAGTCCAAAATGATCCCATTGGGTCTCTCTGGCTCCATCCATGACAGTGAGATGCTGTTTCTGGATGTTCGGTCCTTCCTGATGACAGTCACTGCAGATGGAGCTGCGCAGAGAGAGGGAGAGAGAAAAGGGAAAAAAGCGGATTAGCTGTTTCCACTCTGGCTTTGAAGGTATTACAAGCACATAAAGCCTAAAGTCACAGGAAGTTCAGCTGACATTTTCATTCAACAATTTGCATCCTGTGAACTGGTTCCTGTTGACCTAATCGAGTTTGTTCTCCACTGGGGGCTGGTTTCAAAGTTGGGAAAGTTGGCACTGAAAGACAAATTGATGCAATCAGGCAACGGCTGGTTCCTGCAAACAGTGGCCACTTTCATGTCAAGTCAATACCTCTACGTTTAAAGCACGACTCATTAATTCAAGGGTTTTTTGGTGCCAAGGACCCCCAATTATGAAGTAATCCATTCCCAAGTAACCCACTTTCTAAATAATGAAAGCAGGTATAACTGTTATGTGTTGCACAAAAAAAATTGAGGTTGGTAAGATTGTTTAAATGTTTTTGAAAGACGTCTCTTAGCAATCTGCATTTATCAAAATACAGTAACCAAAATACTGTGAAATATTATTACAATTTAAAATAAGTGTTGTCTATTTGAATATATCATAATTTAGTCCTGTGATGCAAAGCTGAATATCCCGATTTGCTGCTCAAGAAACATATTTCTTCTTATTATTATTAACTGTTAAAAATAAATAATTAAGTAATAATAAATAATACAAAATATTTTGTATCGTTATACATGTCTTTACTCTCCTTTTTCATGTGTCCTTACTGAATAGAAGTATTAAATTCATATATTTATATACTTATTCTATTCTATTCTATTTCTCCTTGAGGTCCTAAGATTCCAGTGTGTAAATAAATAAATAAATAAACCTGAATTAGTTTAGTCTTTTCTTTCTTCCTTCCTTCCTTCCTTCTTTATTTATGTATTTACATCCCCATTGTGCCATTCATTCCTTACACCATTTTTGACGGTCCTACAAAACTGTAAACTTTACAAATGTGTCTCAAAACTCTTCCATTGTGCTCTTTATAGCTGTTTTTCATATAAACACCACCATTCGATCAAGGTTCGGTGAACCAGCATAATTATTCAGGGCATCCTCGAGATTAGCAATCTAGTCATTTACATAACCCTCCAACTAGTGAACTATTTTGAAAAAAATATGTAGTTTTGCACATCTCTAAGTGTGCTACAGGCAGCTCAAAGTCTCCCTCTGCTCTGGCACTTCACATGGTCACAATCTGTGACTGTAATTCAAGTCAGAGCCGGTCCCGCTCTCCTCCTGCCTGGCGCTCATGTTCTTTTTCAACTTTACAGCTCTGTAATTGCGAGGCAGCAATGAGGCCATAGAGGCATCTGACTTGCCTGTGTTTTAATTTTATTAGACCACAGGAAAAACATGTTGTTCTTTCAAATGTTCAAGCTTTCCTTGATTGTGATTATACAGTCTTGAAATGCTTCTTTTCCCCTGGAACCCTTTCGTTTTTTCTTTTCGTCTATTTCTCTTTGTTAATGAATCCAGATGGGCTCAGTCTGTTTCAGTTTGCAGCCCCGCTTCACAAGCTCCTTCCCTACGGCACTCTGATAGGGGAGGAATTATTGAAGTTTTATAGTGGCCGCAGTTTATGGAAGCTATGATTTATAATGTCTGGACAGCAGGCTCATTTGACACTGTGTATCTTTCTCAGTGTTCACAGCGTGAACAGATCAACGTTGTCTTAAAATCAAATAGAAAGCACTGAAAGAATGTGAAAGCAAAGAGCAAAGTGATTATGTTTCTGAAACCAAGTGAGCAGCCTTATTAGGGAGCATTTTATGGCATCATAGGTACACTATTGGGATGTGTCCTAATAGTTTTTGATAATATTTTTTAATTTAGATTTTATTTTTATATTTTGTTTTCACTTGCTTTTCATTTAAATTTGTTTTGTCATGTTTACCTTTTTTCATTTTATTTTTCATTCATTCATTTTATTTTTCATTCATTCATTCATTCATTCATTCATTCATTCATTCATTCATTCATTCATTCATTCATTCAGTCTGTACAGTTTTATTCATTTTTATTGATTCATTTTAGTTTATTTAGCCTTAGTTATTTTAGCACTTCAAGTCAAACTAAATGCGAAAGGAGAAATCTTGTCTTGTCCTGAAATCATTTCATTTTAGTTTATAATAACAGCCCTGGTCCAAAAGCACCCCTATACCCTTATATTGTGCACTATTTGAGGGGACAAATTTGTAGTGATGTCTGCAACCATAGTGAATATTGTCAAGTGCATTCTCATTCCCATAAATCATCTCAATTAGGAGGGTACAACCAATCAATAAATTCCACAGTCTTGCCAGAAAATGGCGAACGCAGCACTTCTTGTGTCCTTGATGTCTGAATTTGCTCACTGGTTGTCACTCACTCATTCAGTGGACTGTATTAGTGGAGGAATGTAGGGGATAGTGAGTGAGGGTATATAGAGGAGTGATTTTGGATACAGCCTCAATGTTAAGGATCCAACAGGTCGTTGTAATGATTACTCTGCCGTCTAAGATACTGTATCTCCTTTTGATCAACTTCTAACACAACACTGTAAGTATCCTCCACAGAGAAGCAAATCACAGAATTAGCGACAAGCTGAGGTAAAAAAACTAAAATGGTGGACAAAGTGGAAGATATGTTGATTATAATCTATGCAGTATGGCTAATTATTAATAAAACAGTTCCAAGAGTTTGACTGTTTTATTTAATACTTGCTATTTTTGATGAATTTCAGTTTTGAGTTGTTAGCTTAGCAACATGCTAATGTCAAACTCTACTGAAAACAATTGTGAGTCAAGTCCTTCATGCCTTTTCTAATTGTGCGGCAGCAGATCTTTCAACAGGATGTTCACTCGGTTTTGGAACTGTGTATATTTCTCGGCTTTCTCCTTGTGAACAGATCACCTCTGTCTTAAAGCCAAAAGAAATCATCAGTTCCCACAAACCTCCTTGAAGAAAGCAACAGCGAAAAGAACCGCACAATTATGTGGGATACTGCAAGAATATTCAGTTACGAAAAATGCAGAAGGGAGGGAACTCCTCAGAAGAGGAGTGAAATCAGAGCGCTGCGTTTACAGGTGTGGCTGACAATTATTATACTTGCAAGTATGCTGCAGTGCAGACGTAAGCATTTGTAAATAATCTTAGAGAAGTGCTGTCGAGATAATGGCATTCTGCAGAACATGGTCTCAAAATGTCCTCCACATGGCTCTGCGGATGTGGGACAGAGGCATGGCATTAATGTGGGTGCTGACCCTCCTTTTCTTTCTCCCTGCCCTTCTCCCCCAAAAACTCCACACGCCAAACAGAAGAGGCAAACCGCAACAACGTATTTCAAGAATGCATGAATGAGTCATGAAAAACCTTCTGTCATGCCATGATCCAGCTGAACACTTCCACGCAGATCAGGGGCCAAAATTAACACTTGCCAAGTGCCAAACGCAAGTCAAAATTGGCTTCGGCTGTTGACTGGTAACATTATAAGGAACTGCAACATTTCATGGTTTAAGTCCAGTTGTAAGAATGATATCTGACCCTAACTGATGTAATGTGAGCCATTCTAAAGAGGAATTCTTCTTCTTATTATTATTATTTTTTTTTGTGATACTACTTGATACTGCAACATACACTACTGTTCGTGTTAAAGACATTTTTTAACGTTTGAATGTCTCTTTTGCTCACCATGGCTGCTTTTATGTGATCAAACATACAATAAAAACAGTAAATTTGTTAAATATTATAACACATTAAAATAGCTATTTTCTATTTGAATATATACTTTAAAATGTAATTTATTCCTGTGATGCAAAGCTGAATTTTAAGCATCATTACTCCAGTCTTCAGTGTCACATGATCCTTCAGAAATCATTCTAATGATGATATGTTTAAAGAAAAAAAAAACAGTTGCGTTATATTTTTGTGGAAACTGTGATACTTTTTTAGGATTCTGGTTTAAATAAACAGCATTTCAATTTGAAATAAATGGTGTGATTCAAAAGTGAATCATACAAAAGTGACATCATATATACTTCAATTATACATACTTCAAAAGTGACAGTTAAGACTTTTACTGTCACTTTTGAAGAATTTAATGTCATTTCTGAATAATATTATTCTTATATATATATATATATATATATATGTGTGTGTGTGTGTGTGTAAACTTACTGACCCCAAACTTTTGCACAGTAGTGAATTGGGAATATTCCTCACATTAATAATAATAATAATAATAAACATGACACAAAATCACATTTAATTTTGTGACTGTGAGATAGAGATTGCCCCCTACCTATAATATATGATCTTGCAATTTAGAGCTTAACAAGTCATTATAAAATCATTATAAAAAATACAGTGCAAATTATAGTTTCCCAGCTGTTAAGAAATATTTAAGACATGGTACTTTTTTTCAATTCACTCATCATTGCCAGTTGTGCCAAAAAGTTAATTTTGCACATCCCGGCAAAGCAGTATGAGACTTGGAATTACTGAAAGTTAGGCCATATGCTTTTCCGGCTTTCTTTGGTTTTGCTGCAAATCTCTGCCCTGCCCTGGCACGACTGCCAGGTCGGGTGAATCGGCCCGTTAAAATGGCAGAACCGTCAGGTCTCAACACAAACGTTTTACAGCTCTGATGAGGTTGAGAGTCAAGCAGAGAGCACCGTTCTTACATGGAGGGCAGCTTGCGTGTGCTGTCTCCCTTGGGCTGCGGAGCACATGCTGGCTCTGTTTAGATGAATTGGGCTGCGCTGACAACCCTCGGAGCCCCTCGTAAATGTGCTCTCTGCAGGCCCGACTCACTAGATTGGCCGTTCACACATCCATCTCCTTGTTCTGGCTGTGTTTTATAGGACAGTAAAGGAAGCTGGATTATTTGTCTAAGAGCAAGAGTAGAGAAGAACAGAGAGAGGGGTTACGATCTTCCTGGTTTTGGTTTCTGAAACTGAAAAACTCAATCGAAAAGACAGAAAATGAGGGTGTAGTGCTGTCTCTGTGCGAGGAAATGAATACCATTGCAGTCCAATAAACTGGAGCGCTTAAGCCAAAGTATGCTTCTTTGTACTTTGTGCTTTGAAAGCAAGTAAGAATTGTGAGTGGGAGTGTGTATGTCTAAAGGGATTAATAAATTGTTAGAGGGTAATAAGGCCATAGAAATCAACAGACAATAATTAAAAACAAATGGCCTCAATATTCTAAAATAAAAAAGTATCATGTATTTAAGGTTTGTTAAAATGTTCCTCTGAGACTTCAATGAAGGACTAGAGAAGAGAAGTGTTAAATCCATATTTACTGCCCATCAGTTTGAGGGGCCACAAATCTGTCCCCTCAAGGTATCCTTATCTGACCAAAACACATTTAATAGAGTGAAGCTGTGACCTATCAACACTAAAAAACCTTAAACCCACAACAAACTCTGGTGCTTGTAGCCAGGGTCATTCTAACAATGTGATACATTTTTATAACCCCATCTATATGTCTTGGTATATTGGAAAATTTTAAACTCCGAAATCTGAGTGAATGTTGTCATTTTATTCAGGTGCTATAAAGTAAATTCTGAATAATAATAATAAAAAAATAATAACAATGAAAATATTTATTAGTGTTAATAAATTAATAATATTATTTCAGTAATTATCGGTTAATTTTTTTCCGTTCTCTAATTGAAATGTAAGAAAAAATTTAATGTTGCAAACAGTTGTGTTGCTTTATATATATATATATATATATATTTTTTTTTTTGGAAAACTGATTATCTTTGAAATGAAAGTTCAACAGATAGAATTTATTCGAAATAGGAATAGTCTTTACTGTCTCTTTTGATCAATTTAAGTGCCATTGCTGAATAAAAGTATTAATTTTATTAATTTAGTTAGTCATTGCTCATTTTCTTTAATTATTAACATTTAATAGGATATAATGAATGTCTGGAATAGTCTTTTATATAAAAAATACTTTAAATTATAACAAGCATACATTATTCATTTTCAAAAGTTAACAGGGATGACCCACAAATAATGAAAATATTGTTGAAAACATGAATTTTGAGTGACTCAGACAGGGAAGACAACATAGAGCCTGTAGCATTGTATCACTCTGAAAGAAAATGCCTTTCTTCACAGATAAATCAGCATCTGTTCTTTGACAGAAGATGAAAGATCTGCTGAGTGAAAATGCAGTCCTCTCACAATGACAGTAAGGATTTTATGAGGTCTCGGGCAAAGTCAACTGCTCCCTGTGGTAAAAGGGTGCAAAACTATCAATCCCTAGCCTTTGAACCTCCAGTAGTCCAAGTAGTCTTTGCCTACTATTTCATGACACCAGACCCCAAAGCCTGTAATCTGTGGACCAACGCCTACTCTAAATCATCCGACAGGACCTGTACCTATCACTCCACAGCCGGCACTGAACTGACAGAGGCCTGAGCCCCACAGGGCTAGAGAACAGAGACACGAGTCTTCACAAAGGAAGCCCACATGGAATGAGAGGCAGATGGCCTGCCGTTCAGCATCCCTCTGCTTTAGTAACCTGAGGAGTCGTGACCTCCAGTCAGCCATACTAGAGGCCAGCACCTGCAGAATATGTTCACAGACAGCTGTGATAGTGCGGGATGAGCAATAAGCTTGCAGAGGCATTAAACAGTTATTTTCTTCCTTCCAATTGGAATGTTGAGCTTTGTTGCACATCGCTGAGAGGAAATTGAATTGTCTTCGTGAATATGTCTCAACCCATCTCAGGGGACCATTAAAACATTTCGCTCAATCAATGGAAATCTTTGATGACAATTTTTTTCTGTTAAGACGTGGCTTTGAATGAAGTGTCATTTTTGGCAATTTTTTGTCCCATTAGAAGACCCGGGAGAATTAAATGGATAGTTCACACATTGTTCTGAACCTCTGTGATGTTCTTTCTTCCATGGAACACAAAAGGTGAATATCTGAAGAACATCCTGGCTGATCTATTCCATAATGAATGGGGAATGGGCCTGTCATGTCACAAAATTGCAAAAAGAGCACAATAAAATGATCAGAAATGTTAAGATGTGTGCTATATTCCAATGCTCCATGCTATATACAACCCAGGCTCATTGGAAAAATGTGCCAACATTTATGCAAAATGACATTAGGTTGCGTCTTGTTCGTTTTGCAACTCTTTCAAAGTGAAATGTCCAGTGAGTGATGCTAAAGGTGTGTTCAGTTTTATCCTAAAGAAATGAACGTGACCCTGGCAATGTTTTATTTCATTCGTTGTACATATTATGGTTTGAAAATGAAATATCTGGTGAGTGGTGCTAAAAAATTTATCACCAACCCTAAACCTAACTCATAGTGTTAACAAAAGCAAATGTGAGACAAAAACACATTTTCTGAAGCATTTTAGCTTGCTTTTACAAGACTTTGAACTATGTCATTGTGACTCCTGTTTCACAGGTATCAAAAGCAATATGCTGTACAAGGTGTGCTACCAAGCAAGTTTACTACATCAGAAAAGCCATACCTATGGAGCTGGTTATGTGACACAAACATGCAGTTCTTTTTTAATTGATAATAAATACATCGATCTGCCCCTGTAATCATAATTAGGGCTGGGATGATAAATCGATGCAGAATCAATTCGTGGATCAATTCTGAGATTTTCAGAATGCATCGCGATTCTCTGGAATCGATTCTGAGCTTAGATTTTAATAGCAGATGACGCTCTAATCTAGTTTTTATCCGCACACTGAAATGCTCATGAAGAAGAGTGCTAAAGAGCGCGTGTGCGTTCGGCTGAGTCATGTAACGTTAATTTCACCTCAGCTCAGAATGATTTTATGACGTGAGATTAATGTAAACACAGCCCACTGTGAACACCCTTGTAATTCGCTTCAACCTTTTCGAATTTTATGAATGATTATTTTAGGTTCAAGTGTGTGTAAAGGATTTGGAAACAAGCAAAGCCGGCTGTTTCTAAAGCATGCAGCGCCATCTGCTGTTCAAAACTAAGCTCAGAATCGACTCAAGAAAGAATCGCGATGCATTCGGAAAATCTCAGAATCGATGCTGAATCATTTCTCGATTCGTGATGCATCGATTTATTTTCCCTGCCCTAATCATAATATGTGTGAAAAGGAACAAAAGTAGTTGATATTTACTGCCTCTAGTGGAAAAAAGCAGTGAATTGTATGTATAGGTAGGTTTTCGCATAAGTGTAGGTAGAGGCGTTGCATTGAGGCTTTTGCACTGAGCTTAGGATGACTATATATAATGACAAAAGTACTGACGCAATGACACATTGAAGCCATTTGACATAAACACCATTGGTTCTGATTTTTGATTTTGATTTATTTCATTCCTTTTCTCACATAAAGCTTTGTATGGCTTTGAAAACAGTGCTTGAATCATATGGACCTCTTTTATAATACATTTAGGGCTATTTTCATGAATTTGGAGCTTGACGGTTCCAGTCCAAGTTAATTTTAAGAAAAAAGATTCAGGATATTCTTCAAAAATTCACCTTTTTTGTTTCATGGCTGAAAGAACATCATAGGTCTTTGTTTCAGATCTACATGAGTGCGAGTAAATGCTGACCTTTTTTCTCTGTTTTTTGGAAAGGGTGGGGAAAATTTCCTTTAACAATAGAATATTCTGAGATGGGAGACTCACCTGCTTGGTTGGTAGTGATGGTGACCGCAGCATACTGGCGGACCGTGGGGGCCAGGGAGGACACTCCATTTTGGGCGTCGATCTCAAAAGTGTAGTTGGTGTGTGCCAGGAGGTCCACCACGGTTACTGTGGTGTTAGTGAGGCCGGTGGCACGGGGCAAGAAGCGCACGGCCCCTCGACAGGGTTCACACTGCCTGGGACCCGGCCAACAACGCTTACAGACCACGTTAAATGTCACGTCCTTCCTGCCTCCGCTGTCAGCCGGCCAGGTCCAGTCTAGAATCACTGACGTCTCATTAATGGCAGAGATCACATTGCGTGGGGCAGATGGAGGTCCTGAAGAAGAAGATACAGTATGTGATATAATATTTATTCATCATTTTTAAATCAAGCTATAAAAATATTGTACAACATGATGAAAATCCATTTCAGCTGTACTGACGTGCATATTCAACACTGACAAGGCGAACCAATATTGACCCAGGAAACCCATCTTTTCTTCTACCGTTTCTTCTGCACTCTTTAAAGTAAAAGTTCTTTATTGGAATCGATGGTTCCATGAAGAAACTTTAACATTCACAAAACCACAAAAGGTTCTTTATAGTCGACCTCAGTTCTTTAGATTATTAAAATATTGTTCACATGATGAAAAAATAGTTAAGAACTGTTCACTGAAAGGTTCTTTGGGGAACCCAAAAATGGTTCGTATGCCAAAACCCTTTTTATTTTCTAAGAGTGTAGACAGCAATGAGATTAAATGGAGATGAAACAGAGACTTTTGGATGCTTCTCAAATCAAAATTCAGTGGTCTCGATATGAACTCAAACTTTTCTCATCGAATCCACCAAGCTCAAATAATTTATTTAGTTATTCGTTGATTCTGCGAGAAACTGTCTCGTTTGTCTTTTTTCAGTTTTTCCTAAGGGATGACAGGAGAAACATCTGGGACAAAGTTTATACTTAAATGAAACACAACTGAGAACTCCATTAAATCTTATGAGCTATGAAAAAGCAATAAAATGTCCCTCTGGGGATGTACGTTTACTTTAAAAAGTGTGGGTTTAATCGTTAAAGTCATCAGTTATGGATGGATACGGAATTTAGGCAGCCATGTCCTTCCCCTTGTTAAAATATTGGCAGAGCCTCTAGAATTACTCCAGAGTTCAGAAGTGTCCTCACTGCATTGTTATATTAACTTTAAAAGATTGTCCCGGTAAAAAAAATAGGGTATGAAGTGCAGCCAGGGTGCTCTATTGATTGGAATAGCAGGCCTGCACAGCAAGCTGATATTTGAATAAGTGACAGACTTCTGCGCATATATGAACAAGAGTGAAATCTCAGATTAAAGTAAGGTGATGGACACCGGTTCAAAGCCAGTAAATAATTTTGGAATATTTAGCGAATTTAATATCTGACCTCTGGGTATAATTATACTAAAACTAAATTCCTGGCTTAAAAATGGTGGTGAAAGAAGAAATCAGGAGTGCAAGGAGTGGTTTGATTTGACGTGAATTCACACGCTGAAGGCCCAGAGTTTAGAGATGGTTTCTGAGAACCATTTTGACAGACATTTTGTCTGAGAAGGAAAGTTGGGGGGGGGGATTAGGATTTGATCCTACATTAAGAAATAGAACATTACACAAAGGAATCTCCTCCACAAATTCGCTCTGGAACATTCCAGAACACTCCCTGTTGCTTTCCCTTGATTCTGACATGACGATAAATCAGACGTTTAGCTTCAAGGTCAAATACAGGATTCACCACACTGGCCTTTTCAAAAGCACTTATAGAAAGAAGAGCAACAATCCTTGAGGAATAATTAACTCAAAATGTAATTTTATAATCACATTTACCAGCTCTTGCGGAGGGGTAGACTGAAAGACTTTCACTGAAAGTCTTAAACATCAGTCTGGTCCTCACATGACAATGGTATGATTCAGAAGACATAGAATACAGCACATAACCGATTGAGTTAGACCTATCAGACTGCGCCATCTAGAGTTTCATGCCAGAACTCTGTATATATTATATACCAGCGCTTCTCAAACTTTTATGCTGTGTTTATGACAAAACTGCTTGTTTTCAAACTTTTATTAACAGAAACTAGGAGTCTCGCTGTATTAAATTAATTAATCATGATTATTTTGTTGTTATTGTTCAATTTCGGTGATAGCGATTAAGCTGAAATAAAATATAAATATTAAATGAAAACTTAAAACTAAACTTAAAAATAAAAGCTAATTCAAAATGTAATAACTAACTAACTAACTAACTAACTAACTAAATAAATAAAAACAAACTGCAGTGGACTTTCTTCTTAACATATCATTTAGTGTTTCATGGAAGACAGAAAACAACATGAGTTTAGAATTATATGAAGGTGAGGATTTTCATATTTGGCTGAACAACCTTTCTTATTATTTTAACGTATAGTGGATTTTCTGTTTTATGACACCTTGATCTTTCCTTCATATAAAAAATGAGTATCATAAAAAGGAGGTTGTCTGTGTCAGCACAGATAAAAAATGCATTAATGTGCCTCAGTCTGCAGTGGCAACAGCATAAACCAAAGTCTCTTTTTATAGGATGGAGGAAAAAGTCGTTATATGTCGCTAGGAAACATCTTTGCCAGAGCGTCCTTTGATCCTGACATATAATAGAAATCACAGTGAGCAGGTAATGTTAACAGACTCGCTGGCCTGTTAGCGGGAGGATGTGAGGTGTGCCAGGGTAAGCCATCCATTATTCGGACAGGCAGTCCACAAAAGTGTGGCTAGCCTTTGTTATTACCACAGACCTGAACAATCACCACCACAACATGACGAACCCATGAAATTCTCTCTGTGACATATGGAAGATGTTTGCGTCTGGTATTGGTACAATCAGAGCTGTATAGATTACTTACAAATTGTAGTCAATTACTGATTACAGATTACATGATGAAAACTGTAGTAAGTAACGTAATCTAGGTTACCCATTTTAGGTAATGTAATCAGACTACTTTTTAGATTACTTTTCGATTTTCTTTTTTTAATCAAACTTGTTTTAAACTTTATAGTAAATGTACTGGATGAAGATGAAGACATAGTGTTTCACAGCTATACATCACCTATACATTATTAACTTGCATAATTTGTTTCATACTTGGTCTAATTGCTTGAGAGATGCTTTTCCCCTCAAATTCAAAAGCTAATTATTTATAAGATTTTTAGCAAGGAAATTTTAAAAGTGAGAAAAGAAGAATGAGGGAGAATCTAAAATCTAAATCTGAATAATTTACTGCCATTATGCGAATAATATGTAATCATGTAATCCATAAAAAGTAACTGTAATCTGATTATGAGCATGTTAAAATATAGCATACTCCAATTACAAGTACTTAGTTGTTGAAATCTGATTGCGTAATCCAGATGTACAGTACATGTAATCAGTTACCAAGCACTGGGTACAATTATATACCATGTCTGTCGTTGACATTTTCCTCACGTCATAGAGTTACGCAGCAAAATATTGCCTTTATGATGTCATAAAAAGGAGACAGGCAGAAATAAACAAGTCCATTTATACGTACTAAAAACAGGCATAAATATGTATGCCTTTGAAACATTCAACGGTGATTAAATGCCGACCTTCGCTGACACAACATAGTACGCAACATAAACTGTAAATCTTACAAAGCAATAATTCACGAAGCAACTGCCTGTATAATGCAGCCATGACCTGAATTATATTCACATGCAAAAAACATCTCTGTAGAACTCAGAATGACCTTCCACAATTATCGCAGATAATATCGTGCATCGTCTTCCTTTAATTGCAGTTCCGCTCTCAGAGCTGCACTTAAAGCATATCGGCTCCACTGCCTGCATCTGAGCAGATTCTATTAAGATAAATGCACAAACTCGGGGGCTATGACAGTATGAAGTGGAGAAATTAAAGTCGTACACTCCGTACAAGCGTTTTTCCACTCACTGTACCCATCAAAGTCTTAAACTAACATTGGCAATGAGTGCTTAAGTGGAAATTAATACTCTGTATTGCTTCCGACAGCCAAAATAAAAAGCGACTCGCATGAGCGTGGCGTGATCCGACATGCTGACTACTTCGGATGTCACGTAAGATACACCCTATTAAACTTGGCCGCAGAGTTCAATAAGGCTCTTGGTGGTTTTATGTGATATGAATCAGCACTGATAGCAATGTGGTGATTTATGGATAATGTGTTTTGGAATGCTTGGCAGTCGCTGCATGCATCTGTCTACCATCTGCGTGCTTCTCCATAAAAGAGAATGGTTTAGCTTGCTCCGCTGCACAAACCCAAGGAGGCCCGTCGGTTGAAACGGTTAAAAATAAGCAAACATGGGCTATTCTCAGTGGGACAGCTTGAAGGCCGCTGAGGGGGTATCGGAAGCTTTGTCAGAACGAGCCAACACAAATTTATCAATCCTTGAACAAACACCATCCTTCAAAAAGCTCTGGCGCTTCTGAGGGCTGCGTGGCGAACAGGAACGCTGCGTTTCAAGTAACAAATAATTATCCGTACAACAACATCACTTCTAAATGCTTCTGGAGATTTAGCTGTCCTGCACTGTTGTGTTGAACATCTGCATATGCCTTTGAGATGCGGGTCACACTGACCCTAATTGGTTTCCATGCAGTTTGCCAAAAAAAAAAAAAAAGATTCATGATAAAACAGAAAACCTCTATTGTAGCTTGCACTGTTATTTTAGTATAACCAAGATACTATATGTTATACATTTGTTTAATATTTTGAATTTGTTTTTATGTTTGTATTTTCCATTTTCATTTTAATTTTATTTAAAGTTTTGTTGTTATTTTTATTCTTTTTTTTTGTAAATACCATCATAAATGTCGTTTTTATTAATTTTTATTATTTTCCATTTTTAGTTATTTTATGACATTGAGAAATGATGTGTTGGCAACTAGCTGAAATAACACAAGAATATTTGCTTATTTTTAAATAATTTATATTATTTTAGTTAACATTTGTTTTGTTTCATGTAATTTATTTATTTATTTAGTTAGTTAGTTAGCTATGGTTCAAGTTAGTTAATTATAATAACCCTGGTAGCATGTCAATCAATCAATCAAACAAACAAACAAACAAATAAAAATAAGAGAAATTATGAACGAACGAACGAACAAATGAACAAATGAAGAAACAAACAAATAAAAATAAGAGAAATTACGAACGAACAAACAAACAAACAGTTTGTCCCTTTCTGTTAGGTGTCAATTTGACCCAAATATTTTTTATGTTCAAAATTAGCTGTGCATTTCCTTTATGTTCACTTCTTTGCCATAGACTGTATAAAAACATGGACGTAGTGTCCGTGAAGTCACCCATAGGTTTCTGAAGAGAGTTTTTGAAGCCTAAATTGGGCGGAGCCGGCCGTCGCCATCTTGGCAGCACGTCACCGCACGTCACTCCCGGAGGCGCTGGTTGCTGATGCCACGCCCACCTAGCTCGACGGTGGTGACAGCAGCGGTAATCCACCTGTCACTCAAGTGACCACGCCCTTGATTATGCAGAACTTTAAGGCTTAATATAATTTAAACGGATGAGTCATACAAATATTCACCCCCCTCACAGTTGTCATGAAGGGCAAGATTAGCTATATAGACCAAAACCACTTTTTGTATCAAGCTGTAAACACATTTTTTTCTGCTGTAAAGTTGGGCGTTTTAACATGGGGAGTCTATGGGACTGACTCCCTTTTGGAGCCAGCCTCTAGCGGCCAGTCGATGAATTGCAGTTTTAGTCACTTCTGTGTTGGTTTCACGAGAGAGACCGGAAGGTTGCTGCTTGTTCTTTGCACACTAAGTTGCAAATAACTACCACTAAAATAAAGTATAAATAGTATCTAACATTATTTTTACTTAGAGTAAACAGTATTTGTCGCTATTTGTACTTGATGTAAATGTCTTTTTATGTCTGTTTCTCAAACCCTTGTGACAGTAAAATGGGTTTCTGATACTTATTTTCTGCAACAGATTAGAAATTGAGATCCAAAAAAACTAACAACCAAAAACATAATTTCACAGTTTTGTACGTTTTTGACTATGAAACCCTTCAATTGACTATGAAATTGAGAAGTCTTCAATTTCGAGTAAACTTACGGTTTTCAATTTCTTCAATTCTCACGTATTTCAAATTTTAGTTATTGACAAGCTACAATAAAGTTTTTCTGTTTTCTGATCTTTAGTCAACAGCATGGAATCCAATGGTGGGTCAATTTGAAATTTAACCCAAATTTTTACAACCTTTCCAAAACACGCCTACAGTATCTGCTGAAACTGTGCATGCACAATGATGCATTAATGACCCTAAATGATAAAAAGTCACACATTTTTTAAGAAGAAATCAACAAACCAGTGTTTCAAAGCAGTAAAAATCAAGTGTGGGTCAAATTGAGCTGAACACAATAGGAGTCTTAAACGTGAAGTTAAACCGATAGAATCAGGAGAAAATGCACTTATGTAGGTACAGTAAGCAGCACGTACGAGAGCAGGCCATCGAGACGGGGTCCTCTTCCGCACGGAAGTAGTTTTTCTCGCAGCCGCAGTGCACGGCTCCCTCCTGGTGTGTGTAGCTGTGCGGCGGACACTTGGAGCACTTGACGTTCCCAGAAGAGGCCTTATAGAAGCCGGGCCGGCAGGCTGTGGAGACAACAACAGGAGGAAAGACAAATTAGGATGCTGGGAGTCTCTAGCCAACAGGGCCATTCATTACCCCATTACTATGCTGCCACTTTTAATGGAGCGAAACATTTCACATGCCCATATGCATCGGCAGACACAATGGAAAGACATTTAATCATCTGCACGGACTTAAACAAACTAATAGCTGTACCAACAGTGCTGAGATGTGCGTACGGCTGGCCACACGCACATGTGAGTGGATCTTATGAGCTCATAGGAAAGAAATATTGTCTCTAGACAGCAACAAGATCAAATGGAGACTTGCTTCTCAGAGTTTCTGAAAAGACTTCAACAGTGTCTTCAACTGTCAAGTCAACTGCCAACATATCAAAGTCTGAAATCTCAGTATGAACTCATCGAATTCCAAAAACTTAATAAACCACATTCACTTTAGACTTTTAATGTGATAAAAATGTTTAATGTTTTAAAGTGTCAGGGTGATATATTATTGTCCTCATATCATAATGAAGAAACAGCCATTAAAATAATTAAATACCTAGAAAAGAGAAACAGGGAATGCTATCATAGAAAGGAACTCTGCAGAAGCACATTACCGAACACTATACCTTTTAAAATAAAAACAAAATAAAAAATGTTTTAGTAAAATCTCTTCTGATCACCAAGGCTGCATTTATTTATTTAAAATTTCAATAAAAACAGTAATATTGTGAAATATTATTACAATTTAAATTACAATTACAATATTATTACAATATCTATTTGAATTCATTTTAATAAAATGAAATTTATTCCTGTGATGCAAAGCTGATTTTCAGCATCATTACTCTGGTCTTCAGTGTCACATGATCCTTCAGAAATCATTTTAACATGCTGATTTGCTGCTCAAGAAACATATCTTAATATTAACAATTTTGAAAACAAGCTTTACTACTTCATATTTTTTAGGAAAAAAAAAATAATTTTTATATATATATATATATATATATATATATAAAGAAAAACATTCATTTGAAATATAAATCTTTTGTAACAATTTTGATTTTTTTTTTCAATCGCTTTTTTCACTTTTGATCAATTTGATGAATCATTCTAAATAGATAATGAGTAATTACTTCCTTTAAAAAATATGTTAGTCTCCTATAAAATATACCTTTGTAATGACAGCAAAATTTATTTTGTACAAGTTTTTTCCTCATTGTTACACCACATTACATTTTTAGCATCATTGGATTAAAACTTTTCTTAAAAATAGCAGAAACATTTTTCAAAACCATATGAAAACAATATGACTACAAAAAGTAGCTCTTACCTGAGGAATTTTAAGAGAAACTTCTGAAAATAAGTTTGTTTGACTGAAACATAATTGAGTCTCTTGAGCTATGAGAGCGCAAACCTACACTATGAGCAATCATTTTTCCTCTGGGAAATGAAAATTTGGGAAGCTAAAGTCAGAGCTATGTGATAAAGTGTGTTTAAAAATACTTTTAAAGTCTCCTTTAATGTCATATTCAGTGCCGGGTACATGAATTATGCAAATACACCTCTTAAAATGGAACAAAAAAAAAATATATCTCTGCTATTAAAGTGTACTCATCAGCTCATCCTTCCCTATTCATGAGAATCCCATTCCATTACCCATAATGAAGAGGGAAAATCATGATGAGCTGGCTAATTACTGTGGCTCACACGCATCTGTATTCCACTCCCCTCTTGTTGCAAGTTCAATACCTGATATAATACAGTTGGTGAACCAAAGCTTCAAGTCAGCACCATCCTCCTAGAATCAATTGAATTCTGCTTCACTGCAAGAAAACCGAAGGGGCTTTATTATTATAGAAGCAGTGAGGCCAGGTTCCTCTTCCCTGGGAATACAGCAGAAGACCTTCTTTCGGTTTAATAAAGGTATGTTGGGGTCGGATGCAACCGCTTCCAACACATCAGTGATGTTTATTACCTATCTCACAGTCTACATGACATTCCCACCGCTACAGTGCACCTACATGCCTGCTGTTTCTCCTGAGAGGTTTTCTTATGCGTAGTGTGAGTAGAAGACGGCATGGAGAGTAGCTGTGATGCATGAGAATGCAGGTTTACATTAACCCGTTTCTCCTCCGAGGCTCTCCATTAGGGACTGCACAAATTGAGGCTGATGAAAAAAATGCAGGTGCTCTTAACAGCATTTGTTACAGGAAATCTAATCTGACACACTGTTACCTCTGCGAATCAGAAAACACAGAGTCCCAAATGTGATAAACACACACCTATGTGGCCAAAATATGTCTGAAGACCCCAGAGGAACATTTTATAGCTCAGAGGTGGCTTCGGAGACACACTGAAGGTCTTTGTTATATATTCTCTTTTGTGTATGTCTATCCTGAAATTCCTTGGGGGGATTTCTCAGCATTGTTAAAGGGATAGTTCATCCAAAAATTAAAAGGTTGTCATTATTTACTTATCCTCAAAGGTGTGTTCAAACCTGTACGAGTTTCTTTTTCCTGCTGATCACAAAAGAAAATACTTTGAAGAATGTTGATAACTAAGCAGTTGCTGGTAGAAATTGACTTCCATAGTCATTTTTTTTTCCATACTATTGAAGTCAATGGCTATCGTCAACTGTTTGGTTTCAAACATTCTTCAAAAACAGAAGAAAGATTTGGATGACACAAGGATGAGTAAATAATGATAGAGAAGCTAAACGATGTCTAAAACTACAATTAGTAGTATATTTCAATTACCATTTTCAGTAAATAAAGCTGAAATAAATACAATTAAAAAAAAAAGAATAGGGGAAATATTATTTGAAATAAAGCTGAATTCAAATAAAACATTAATATTAATTGGCAAAAG